CTACCGTGGACAAATAGAAGAATAGAATAGAATAGAATAGAATAGAATAGAATAGAATAGAATAGAATAGAATTATTAGCCAAGCATGATTGGACACACAAGGAATTTGTCTTGGTGCATACGCTCTCAGTGTACATAAAAGATACATTCGTCAAGGATCATAAGGTACAACACATAATGATAGTCATAGGGAAACAGTTAATATTAGTCTTAAGGATACCAGCAACAAGGTTACAGTCATACAGTCATAAGTGGAAGGAGATGGGTGATAGGAACGATGAGAAGATTAATAGTAATGCAGACTTAGTAATTAGTTTGACAGTGTTGAGGGAATTATTTGTTTAGCAGAGTGATGGCATTCGGGAAAAAACTATTATTAGTTGTTCTGGTGTGCAATGCTCTATAGCATCGCTTTGAGGGTAGGAATTGAAACAGTTTATGTCCAGGATGCAAGGTCTGTAAATATTTTCACAGCCCTCTTTTTGACTCATGCAGTACACAGATCCTCAATGGAAGGCAGGTTGGTAGTAATTGTTTTTTCTTCAGTTCTAATTATCCTCTGAAGTCTGTGTCTGTCTTGTTGGGTTGCAGAACCAAACCAAAGAAGTTAATAATGAAGCCTAAAGTTTGAGGCAACAGAATTAACTCGCTTGAAGAACATGCAAGTTAACCAGAGGTCTCTTACACTTTTAGGCTTTACTAAACGTATGTCAAATTATTCAACGGTTTAAATATTTTTATATTCCTCTTTCTGCAGTTTCAAACTGGAGTAAGAAACCTAAGATTCCTCCAAATAAATGGATATTAAAGAGCGAAGGCAACAAACGGGAGCCTTCCCCGTTCTCCATAGGAGCGTGCCTGCAAACTAGCGCCGAGAAGCCAAAGGGGGTTGGACTAGATGACCTGCAAGGTCCCTTCCAACTCTTGTTAACCTGTTATCTGTTAAAGGCAAAGAGCCAAGGGTGAGAGCGCAAAGTGCTGGTAAGCAGGACTCCAAAGCCAAGTTTGTAAAAAAAAAAAAAAAGGTCTGTGGTCGATGGTGATAATGATGACGACAACGACGATGATGGACAGTAACGGCTGCCGCCAGGTTCCCTGCGCGCGCCTTTAGAATACTGGCGGCTGTGCCGAAGAGGCGGTTAGCTGCTTCTCCGCCACAAACATTCGGGCCGTCATTTAGCCGGGCTGTCCCGTCCGGTTCCCTCTCGAAGACCGCTCTTTGCGCTCGCGGGAACGGCCGGCGCTGCTCTTGGTCCCGAAGAGAGAGCGCAAAGTGCTGGTAAGCAGGCCTCGCTTAAAAAGAGACAGAGAGAGAGAAAGAGAGAGGGAGAGAGGGAGAGGAGGAAGAAGGGGCCGTCGATCAACAAAAAAGTCGAACGCCATGGCCCCAGAGAAACGCCGAGGCCGCGCCAGAAAGGGAACCACGCATGCGCATGGAACGCGTGTGGAGCGTATGGCTGCGGCCGTTTTTGCCGCCTGAACTGCGTGAAGCTGAGAAAATATTTTTGTTGTTGTTTAAGCGGTTATGAAGTACGGTCGTTCTTCCTTATGAACTTAGCGCTCTTTTATGAAGCCCCTCAGAGTGTCCGCGGTTTCTTATCGTTCCCAAAGAGTTCGCGTTCTCGCTCTTTTTTTTTAACACCTACCAAACTCAGTGGGGGTTTTCGAGTGGAGGCGCCCTGAAGAGTTTTACAGACATCCACGTCCAATTCTCATTTCCTTCATCGTGCAGCCTCGTCCTAGGCCAGCCCAGCCCAGCCATTAATTCTATTTATTTTATTTTATTTTATTTTATTTTTGTTTGTGGACGGGATGGGTCGGTAGGAAGATGGGGGAGGGTTTAGGTAAGGACTTAAGTACTAGACATTGGGAAGTCCTGAATTAGTACACTTCGAGTAATTGCCCGGTTTCCCATCTGTGTATATTTTGGGGCTGTTTATTTTACAGCATGGCATCTCCAAGTGTTTTAACAAATGGAAACTAAGAGATTGATTGGTAAGCACCTTCAGCCAGCAAGATCTCTGTGCCTCTCTTCTCGTGGTAAGTGCCTTGATCGCCTCAAGTATTTGTGCAGAAAACACATTAATACAGATTTAGAAGGGCACTCAGCGTATTAATAAAGCTATTACTTCTTTTTTACAGCATCCTTAGCCACAGTATCAACAGACTCTGGTAGTTTTCAGGCTGACTTTCCATGCAGTGCTTCTGTCTTTTTACATAATGAAATTAGTTCAGTAAGTATTACTTCAGTAAAACAGCAACAACAAAAATCCCTCTTTTACTTGAACCTGATGCTAGATATTGTGATTTGTAGCAATATTTGGCTAGTTTAACATGCGAATGTCATGCATAACCCATTACTTAAACTTGTTTTGAAATAACAGTCTGTAAAATGGATAATTGTGATTATCTTGTATTCTAAACTACTAGGACTAGAACTTTGATTCAGTCAGTCAATCAATCAATGATTGAATTTCTATAGCCATTCATCCCAGCCAATGATTGGGTAGCTTACGACTGGAAAAAAAAATACATTTTAAAAAAATTAAAAACAGTAAAAACATCCAGATTAAATATACGTAGGATCAAAATTCTTGGCCAGTTAGCAATACAGGCAGAAAATGGGGTTTTTAACACATTCAGCACCCCAGGCATGGGAACATAGCCAGGTTTTTAGGGCTCAAGCCTGACCCCAACCCTGTTAGTCTTACATAAGGCCCTAAAAACCTGGCTATGTTCTGTGGAACATGGAACATTCTACCCCTGCAGAAAAAGGTTGTCCTCTGGTCCCTGCCAGCCAACACTCTGTACTTTACTGAACCTACCCCAAATCAAAAAACTGCTATAACCTTTTTGAACTAATAAATTTTATTAAAAGGAATAAGTTTTTGTGAGTTAGAGCTAAATGACATACAATTTAAATTGAGATGAGGTAGTGAAAAATGAAGGAAGACAGTTGGTTAGGCACATACCAGTTGTGGGTTGTCCCTGGTTCGGACCGGTTCGCAAGAACCGGTAGTAAAATTGGTGGGAGGCCCCGCCCACTGCCCCAGATGCCGTCATCGGCGATCTGCGCATGTGCAGAAACAAGGTGCACATGCGATCCCTTTGCAAACCGGTAGTAAAGGTAAGTAGAACCCACCCCTGGCACATACAGGTTATATGTTGGACAGATTACGTCCCTTATGAGAGGATATGTAAATGTGTCCCAGCCATTGAAGATATTGCTCATGGTCTTTTTTTTTTTTTTCACTTTTACCTACAGTATAGAACCCTTAGACTTAGATATTTAACATCCCTACTTGAAAGAACAGCCCATTGGGATCTGAATTAGATTGTCCTATTCTCTCCTCAGCTCTAATTAATTTATTGTGAGCAGAACTGCTAAGTCTATAGTTAAAACAGTCAAGCTAAGAACCCATCATATCAAGCAGATTGGGGTATTCTGTAAAGGTCATATACTTATCTGGATGTTGATTCTCTGTATTTACCACATATTTATTTTAATATTGTATTTTTATCTATTTTACCTGAAATTAGATCAGGTACTTTTTTTTTTAATATAATCAGAAGACTAATCAATAAACTAAAATATGTTGGACAGATTATGACTACTTTATCAACTGACAGTTATAATGTATTAAAAACTTTTAAAACATTATGTTTTTTGAGACACTTTGAAACAGGTATATAGTATTTAGAGGACTTCTAATATGATATATGCCATCATTTGCCAGTCTTGACCTTCTAATAGCTCAGACTTCAGACAAAATAATGCATGGATACAAATTGATATCAGGAATCAAAAGAAGGACTAAGTTATATAGAATATTTCAACTTTGAGGGCACTCTACTGCAAATCTCAAAACGATCATTTTGCAAAAATGAGATTGTAGCAGTAAAAATGAATGAGAAATTGTTGAACTTAAATACATAGAAAAGTTTCAGGCTACCTCAAGAAGAATGTGTTTTAACACAAGTATAATCTGTCTCACATGTAAGATGTATCTTCATAACTTTCTTCCTTCTCTTATACCAATTTAAGTCCTATATCAAATTGCCCATTTCTGTTTAACAGACCAATATGATTCTCTTCCTACAATGTGCATACCAAAATAGTACATAATTTGTAACATCTATAGGTAGTCCTCAACTTAACAACCATAATTGAGCCCAAAATTTCCTTCGCTAAGAAGTGAGTTTTGCCCCACTTTACAAGTTTTTTTCCACAGTTTTTAAGTGAATCATTGCAGTTTTAAGTTAATCATGTCATTAAGTGAACCTGGCTTCCCTCATTGACTTTGCTTGTCAGACTCCGGCTAGGAAGTTTACAAAACATCGGGACAGTGCATCTGTTGTAAAGATTTACTTAACAACCGTGTGTCTCATTTAACTACTCTTAACTCTCTTAACTGTGGCAAAGAGGTTAAATGGGGGAAAACTCAATAACTGTCTTGCTTAGCAGCGGAAATTTTGGCTCAATTGTGGTCATAAATCAGGGTCTACCTGTCCTTTCAAAATGTAAATGGTACATAAAAACGGCATAGAAGAAACTTTGACAATCTTGTGGTGGCTGATCTGACAGTCTTATAGTACTTTCTCATGTATGCCTATGAAAATGTTGCAATAGAATTTGAATGAATCTTGTTCTTCCTTCCACGCTGTAAATAGTGACTACATAACTTCTAACCTTACGGTCTGCAATTAGAGTGTTTTGGTGGTGTTCTTCACTGTTAAAATTCCATGTGGTATACATTGTATTGTATTATTCTGTATAATATCTGTATACATTATCTCCTGCATGAATTCTCAAAAGTTCCTAGAACCTTGTAAAATAATAAACAAAATACATATATTAGATATATATCATATTAGAATATAATATGTATTACACTTTATTTTAGATATGTAAATCTAATGGAATGCTGGTTTTAAATGACAATTTGATTCCTAGTCTGTCAGCGCAGCATAAAAATGAAGTCACAAAAGGTAAGTAAAAATTATCATGAAAAAATACACAAAATATATTTCAGATTTTCGGCTTAGACTTTTCTATTAATTTTCAATTTCAATTCAATATTTGAAATTTATCTGTGAGCTTAAATGAATTTGTATTCAAGAATTCATTTAGCATACCATGCTTACAGCAAAGGTGGTATTTATATTTCAGAAGCTCAAGGGATAAGCCACGTAATGATTGCATGTCAATCCAATCTCTTTTATAACACTAGACACTGAACTTTAAAACTCTGTATAAATTACTATAACATTTAGTATAGAATGATAATCATGCCGGTAATTCAAATGATAGTTACTGTATATAAACATCCAGAACCATACTTTGTTATTTTTAGTAATAAGGAAACAGATTTGCTAACTAAAATTCCTCTGTAAAATTGTTTGCAAAAAAAAATCTAGTTACTGATTTTCATTAGAAGATGCCTGATTTGTATATCAGTGTTCCTATCACTTTTCATTAATAAATTTTGTGTTGGCAGAAAGAATAACATATAGCAGAGATTTCCTTCTGAAACTTTCAGGGGTTTCACTTGCCCAAAAGAAGCCAGAATTTCTTCCTGATCATCCTATTGTACTGGAAAAGTCAGTAAGTATTTAAATTTAAAACTGAGTTTGTAGAAATATTTTTACTGACATTTAAATTAGTAGTACAGATTTATTGTATAGTGAAGTTGCAGCATAGGTATCCATTCTTAGTCACAATGATGATAAAATGATGATGCAAATAATTTCTTACCAGATTAGTTATCTCTGGTAGTTTAGGGAAGAACCACATTTCTATCACAAATGATAATTGCTGCTACTTACTATATTATTTTATGAATAAATGGGAAGAAGTCTAAATATATAATACAAATATACTTCTTGTCCAAGAATAACCTGCATACAAAATCTAAGCAAAGTGCATTTTGTATATTTCAAGGTATTAAAAACTATTGTCCTTTAGTTATAAAAATAAACTGTAAATGAATGGAATGAGGCCATAGATGTCTGAAGGCTTTAGAATTAATACATAACGTAACGGATAGGTGTTCATGATTTTCTAACCTGTTGTAAATTTAAAGTGATGATGTGCAAAAGTATATGCCAAAATGAAACTAGAGATATTAGGTCCTTCCAAACTTTTTCCCACTGAAATATTGGGGATGGGTTTTATTGTGAAAGTAGAACTGTATATAGTACATATGTATGTGTATGGGTGGGGAGACAGACAAGGAAGAGTTTCAGTAGCAGCTGCTCAAGTTTGTAAAAAGCATGCTTCTTTAACAGCGGGTAAAGTGATGCTGTGTTTCCGATTTGCAAAATAACGCAGCTGTAATTTTTTCTGCATAACACAGCTATAATTTTTTCCTGTCATGTTTTTATATGGATTTCTGTAAGCTTAAGAACGTTTTTTTCATATATTTTTTTATTATATGAACTGTTATATGAACTGTTTAGATTGAGTTATTGCTTATAATTCCATAACTCTGCAATCATACACATAGTGGTTATAAATACACAAACTACATGTGATTAAAAATGCCTGTCTGAACTTTACTAATACAGGTAATCTTGATTTATGACAGCAATAGAGCCTGGAATTCCCATCGCTAAGAGAGAGAGACAGTGCAGGGGTGCAGCAAGGGTCAGGAAGATGCTTGTGGGGAAAGGGGTCAGAGAGGATACACAAGGATACAGATGAGGGAGGGTGCACAAGTGGCCAGCATAGCATTGAGGGCATGGGGCTGGAGGAGGGTGCGTGGGGGAGAGAGACTTTCCACAGTGACTTCCCCATTGATTTTTTGAGGATGCTAGCAGGGAAGGTAGCAAATGGTGATCATGTGATCGTCAGATGCTGCAACCAGTTATAAATGTGAACCAAGTGCCAAGTGCCCAGCTCATGATCACATGACAATAAGGGTGCTGGGATGGCCAAAACTCTGACGACTGGTCATAGCCATTCATTTAGTGCCATTGTAACTTCAAATGGTCACTAAACAAATGGTCATAAATTGCAGATTACCTGTATATCTTTCCAGTGATGATAAGCTTCTGGGCTAATAGGTGTCATCTAATTACAGTACCTGATATCCTGACATTTCATCAGCAGTTGTGGCTGGCATTTTCTGAGGTGACAGCAATCTGCTTTGTAGCACATTTCTCAGATCTAATTAGACCATAACCTATTACTCTGGAAGGTCATCACTATTAGATTAACACTGGCTGTGAGAGCCTGCATCAGTATATTAGCATAGTTTTATTGATGAGAATTGAGAAGAAAATGTCTGAAATAACATTAATTGCATTGGGTATAAAAAGCAATTTGTGGAGGGGAGGTTAAAGCTCTGAGAGTTGCCAGTATGGAATAGTATTCTTCTGGATGTCCTGTCACACATTCTTTTATCCATAAATATTGCTAGTATACTTCAATTCAGTGTTTATATATTTTTCGTAGCTCTTCTAATTATGTTAAAGAATTGAGTTTCTTAAATAGTTTTCAGTTTTATCTTGAGTTGTGACTCAATCTTATAAATGCTAACATGTTTCAAAGCTTATTTAAATATGTAATGTTTTCTATTAACTAAATATGTGGGCCTTTTGTTTTGTAGAAAAATTATTGTTTATTACCTGCTACAAGCAATGATAGATCTTTCTGAAGATAAAGAATGCGTCTCTTTTCACCACTTAAAAAAATTAAGGAAAAGTGATCTGTAATATCAATAGACTGAATTCAGATGTATCTTTTACAGTTGGTGTAATCATCAGTAAAACTATATTCAAGCAAAAATGTATGTGAATCAACTTCAACTGTTGTCTGATTCTGAACTAGTATTATATTAAGATTTTTGTAATGATAAAGGAAACAGCAGCTGAAGTGAAGCAGGATCATTATCACTTGTCAAGTTTTGGGAATGCTACATATGAAAATAAGTTGCAGATCTTAACAAGTGTGACATTCATTCCTCACCTTTTATTCTAGCAAAATTCCAAATATTGGGAATATACCATATGTCTTAACTGCTATAAACTGCTCATATCTTGTGGCTGTTTGCATTTTGACTAGATGCCAACTCATATCATAAACTAAATTGAGCTGGAGAACATGGACACACACGTAACTTCTTTTTCCATGTACCAATCTTCTTGCTAGATTGTAGAATCTTTTAACATCAATATGTACAAAAAATGGTATGACCACTGGAATCTTTGAAGATTTTCATGCCAAACATTTAAGTAGTAAGTAGCAAAACATGACCATCAAAAGATGTAGATTGCCCCATATCCTTAGTCCCAATTTAATTAGCTGTAAACAGGCAATCCTTGTGTGGGATTATTCTGTATATTACAAATGCCATGGTGACGCAGTGGTTAGAATGCCGTACTGCAGGCTAACTCACTGCTCATTCCAGGAGTTTAATCCTGAATGGCTCAAGGTTGACTCAACCTTCCATTCTTCCGAGGTCAGTAAACTGAGGGCCTAGATTGTTGGGGGGCAATTGTGCTAACTCTGTAAACCAATTAGAGAGGGCTGTAAAGCACTATGAAGCGGTCTATAAATCTAAGTGCTATTGCTATTTGTCTTTTTCTTAAATGTTTAAAACTTTCAATTCAATTATTAGGATTTAGGTGCTATGTCATTTTGGAAAGTTTTTTAAAAATATTTTAAGTATAAGGTATTGGTTATGTGTTAATAATTTGGTCTCTACATCTGTCATTTTCCTCTCTTTCCCAGATTTTGCTATACACTCTTTTCCACATTTTTTCCTAGCATTTTCCCACAACTACAAGGTCTACTGTTTTTCAGATCAACCAAGTATTGATCAATTTGTTTGTAATAGGAATTGATGAATTGATTTGCCACCAGAGCCTGATGTCATGGGCTGAGAGAGAATAACTGGATCAAAGTCATACAGCCAGTTTTTATATTTAAGGCGGGATTAGAACTCAGTTTTCTCGTTTCTAGCTGATGCTTAAGCTTTAGAACTACTAGATCAAATTGGGTTTCACTTTTTTTTCATCTGATAGCATCTAAATAGTTAACAAGATTTTGGATTCAAAGATACATCTAGTCCTCTAGTACAATGGTCCTTCTAATACTGCTAATCAATTACCGTTGTATTTTGTTTCTTTCAAATTTCCAAATTCTGCAAATATGTTACATTTGTAATGTTTTTCTGATGAACATTGAACCTTGTGTTACTGGTGTTATGAATGTAAATGTGGAATGATATTTGCTTTTGTGAAGATTTTTTTTAGTTGCTGTGTAAAGATACTTGCTTTCACTTAGAGCAGCATTTGAAAGTTTACATACATCTATATTTATCAGACTTTCAAAATAAAGTATGAAAAGGGAGTAAATACAATAAGCCTAAAAAAATTAAAACACAACAAGACAAAGAAATTAAAGACATGTGATAAGAAAAAGAAACCGCTAATTCTAGTTGACATCAATATCAATATCTTTCCATGCTTGTCTTTGCAAACTTTTCTTGTTTTATGCAATGTCCATACAGTGTCTTCCTGTCTCCTTTTGAGGTTCTGACTTCAGATTTATTTTCTTTATCAAACATAGCTATCTTAGTTTTTAATAGATTACTTTTCAGGTCCATGATCCCTGTTGCATCATATAGTTTAACTTCATTGCAAATTATTCAAGTTTTCAGCCCAAAACATGGCGTCATCTCCATACAAAGATATGTATTCATACTCTGTCTAATGGTAACATGACTATTCCTTATAGATTTATTTATAAACATAATATAATGAAACTTTTTCTATTACTGTAAATATAAAACAGTAAAATATTTTAGTTTCTTCACAAGTCTTTTTCTAACTAACATCACTACACTAATTTAGTAAACACAGAACAATTTCAAACGATGGTAGAAATGAATTTTCAGGGAACTGAAGACAAATGCACATAGTAAACACAAGCAAAATGAAAAGACAAATGCACATAGTAAACACAAGCAACACAATACTACAGTAGTGGCCAAAATTGTGGAAACCCTTTGGGAAAAGTGTATTTTTGAAATTTGGTGGCTAATAATACCACTTTTTTGGGGGGGGGGAGTTTCAAGATAATCATATTCCTCTGCTGGAATAGCCTGGAAATAGCCCAGACCTTAACCCAATTGAAAATCTATGGAGCCGACTAAAGAAACTTGTTAGTCAGTAGCAACCCAGCAATAAAACCCAGTTAATAGAAGCAATCATTCAATCTTGGTTTCACATAACAGCTGCAGTACTAAAAGACTTGGTTCACTCTGTGGGAAGACGTAAGGCCATAATTCATGCTAAAGGTTACCCAACTAAGTGACGTGATAATTTTTGTATATCTCATTTTTTCTACGTGTTTCACTTTTCTTCTTTATACTGTAACTGCTATTCTAATAGCAAATCCTTCATAAAAGTTATTGCATTACATTCTTGATTAAATTATCTTTCCATTGATATATAATTTTATGGTACTACTCCAAAAAAGTGGTGTTATTAGCCAGTTTTAGAAAATACACTTTTCCCAAAAGGTTTCCACAATTTTGGCCACTACTGTATATTTAAAAAAGAACCATGAAATTTAAATGAATTTGTATCATTTCATAAAATATTAATCACAACAAATTTTACAACATAGATTTGTTTTTAAATGGAAGAATTGTCCATGAAAGAATAGTCATGATTTGCTAGCTTCAGAGATTGATTGTTCTCTAGGTGCTGTTTAATGTAGAGCCTACTTTTAAGAAGTATGTACTTCTAGTTGTTCAGGATGCACCAAGAAGCTGAAAAGGAAATATTCATGATTTAAATAATCTCATGTCAGTAATTCCCATCAACATTTCAAAGGACTGCTTAGTTTTAAAGTAATTTTGCAGCATGTAAATAGATGTTTTATTTTATTTAGTTGTTATACCAGAATAGATTAAAATATACTGACATACATAAGAAATAATATTTATGGAGTAGCTTTGTAGAGTGATATGGGCAGTATATAAATTTAATAGATAAATAAACATCAACCTTGCAAAATTCCTACAAGATTAAAATATTTTAAATGGCGCAATATTCATATCCCAATTTGAATAAGACACTTAAAAATAGTTGGGATTTGGCAGTGAGTATAGTAACAGCATGGCTTTGGAGTAAATTACTTGTCATCTGCATATATGTTTATGTATGTTATCTGTTGGTTTTATCCTGATTTTTTTTTAAAATTATGATCTTTGATATGGGGAAGGAGCTAATTAAAATTCATCAGTTAATGCAACAATTTGGTAAAATACTGTATAGATAAAATGTGTACTTGACATTTAAATGATTTTTAATTTGGGAATTGGATTAATCCAAAATTAAATATAATAAATAAAATAATCCCATTAGAAAGGTACGATATCTGAAAGAACCCTTATAGATTAACTTTGCCACTTCTGGTAAAAGATACATATGAAGGAGTATATTTCTAGATCTTAAACTTTGTGTGGATAAAGAAGAATTTCTTCAACTTTTTGTTTTTTTCTGGATCAGCACTATCAGTCCCATGAAAATGATTATTCAATTCCCTAAATTATATCTGGAGGCACCCATGTAGCAAATGGATGAATGAATCAGCACATATGAATTATAATTCCGTACAACTGTATTCCCTATCAATAAATGCTTTTGAATTATTTTTACTGAATGGAGATGGGTTGGACTCGGTGGCCCATTCCAACATTGACATTTTTAGAATCAGAGCAGTAATTCAATAGTACAGAACAAGTATAAGAAGTCAAATAGAGACTGGCATCAACCAAGTTTATGCAATCCATTAAATCTTAATATTTTTGTTCTAAAACTCATACACGTAATCCTCCACTTAGGACCACTTTTGGGGCTAGAATTTCCACTGTTAAGCTGTGCAGATATAAAGCGAGATGTCTTGTGACTGCAAGTGCAATCTGGTACTCCCCATTTTCAATGTAGCCCCAAGACATATGGGTTATTAAGAAAGAAGGCAGGAATCCCAGGTGCAGAGCATGAGAGTGCTGTTAGGAGGTGGAGGCCTGGAAAGGTTGGCCATGCATGAGTTGGAGGGAGTGCATTGTGTTGTGAACTCAGGGAGGCCAGAAAAAGAATATGCTGCATCTCGGGCTTCCTGGCACTCCATGCTCTGGGGCTGCAAAAAACCCCTGAGCTGCAGCATAAAGCCCAGCTGCAACCTGGCCCAGCAGTGCAGCACAAAGGGACTTCCACAAAGCTGTTGCAGCCCACGAAGCTTCAGTCTATTTTTATGACCCTTGCTGACTTGGGACCTGCTACCCTAGTTGACCTTTGCCATCTTTTTCCTCTTGCTGGTGGCTGAGGATTTAGGCACTGGGTGTGGCTGAACTTGCAAAACTCGCCTGGAAGGGCCTCCTGCAAAGACTTCATCATGGAAGTATCGCCTTTGCAGCAGGTGCTTCCAGGGGTGAGCTTTGCAGAAGGTGCTTCCAACAACAGCTGCATAGTGTGCACTGAATCTCTGGACCACCTGTGTCCTCACTATCCTCCAGTTCTGCCACCACCCTGAACAGTACCTCCCACACAGCTTCCATTTTTGCTGGGGAGCTGATTCTGGCTCTCTTGCCTTGCCTGGCAATGGAGAGCCCTTTGCTGTCTCACTGCTTCCTTTGCAGCCAGGCCTAGTCACCTCCTAGGGTAAACAGGGCTTTGCGGTTTTGCAGTTCTCACTGCACATCCGATGGCTACACCCTCATCCAGTACCTGAATCCTAGCCCTGCACAAGAAGAAAATGGTAAACATAAGCTTTGGGAGGTGGCAGCAGCGGGGAGCAAGGATATGTAGTGCAGGGCACCCAAAAGGGCAGAGATGGGACTATAGGTGATGGTGGGGAGTCCCTGTAGCTTTAAATGAGGGCGGCCCCAAATTTTGATCACATGACTGCAGGAAAGCTGCAATAGCTGCAACTTCAGGGACTAGTTAGTCATCTTTTTTTTCATTGCTGTAATAATTTTGAATGACTGCTGAATGAATGGTTCTTAGTTCAGGACTATCTAGGTAAATTCAGCCATTTTTTGCAACATTTACAACTTGGCATGTGTGCAGCTAAACTAGACTACTATGTCTTGTTTACTGTTTGCAAAAACAAAGCAAAGCAAAATAAAGTTATGACTAACTGGAATTGACAAATACACCTCTGTTAACCTCTAATGCCATTCTGTGCATAGTTAGAAGCAAGTTCCATGTATTCAATGAGATTTATACTCTAATAAAATTTTCCAAATGGATATTTATTTGTTACTGTTTCTTAGAGTAGAACTAAATAATGATTGGAAAGAAGAACACAAGGAAATAACGAACTCTTAAAGTAAAAACAAAAAATATTACCAGGAACAAGCATAGTTGTAATGTGTTCTGGAGTCTCCAGGCAATCTACATTACTTCTTTGGAATGACTTGCTATAATTCATCTGGAGATGGCTGGAGAAATAAGTAATATTTAAAATATTTAAAAACCATACTTAAAACTCTTTGGTTTACATTTTATAGAATTAAAATGATTAAATTAATCATGAATAATAAAAATAGCCCAATCCAAACCTAGCTGTTCCAATTCACAAATGAATGCTTCAGATATGCACAGGCTCATAACTAACAACTCATTCAGAAACATCTGTGATTAAAGTGTGTCAATGGGGCAGGGTGCAGTTATGAATTGTTTTATCACGGAGCTTCTGATCTAAAAACAAGATAGGGTCACCATGAGTTTCTGAGGTATTTGCTCTGGGGCCACACTTTTATGCCAGAAGAGTTTTCACATGTAAAAATATTGCCATATTAAAATGTTTTCCAAGTTGATGAATCAGTATTTTCATCTCTAAATCTATTAGAATCATCTGATGCTTTTATCACATTGTTTTACATTGCTTCTTGCTTCCTGTTGGCCACGGAAATCTTTTTATATTTTAATGTTCAGTACTGCTGGAATAGGAAGTTGGTATTTTTCAGAAAGATATAAAAGTAACAATGTTGGCAGAAGACTGACACGCAGTATGCTTATGTTGCCTAAGCATGATGATGCTGATGAATAATAGTGTTTCAGAAACCTACTTACCTGTTCCAGGCGTTATTTTCCCAAAATTCATAAACAATGAAACAGGATTTGCCTGAAAGTTTCTGGATAGAAACACTAAAATATAAGCACAAAATTTATTTGAATAGAAAACAGCCCAAATTGACATTTATTTAAAAACATTTATGTCTGTTTTTCATCTTTGGATTGGTATAGACCTAGTGACAATGCTTAGTTTCTTTCTGTAATATTAAACTAAGTTAAAGCTCACCTTTTTTTATTACCATGAGATTGATATTTTAAATAAATCATTCCCAGCACTACAACCTCATATAAAACTGATTGAAAGCCAAAATACATTCGCAATAAATGGTACAGTATTCAGAGGGATGTTGAACCTAAAGCTGAGCAGAGTATATTTTAGCAAAAAAAAAAAATTAGTAATTTCTTGGCCATAGCATAACAGTCATGTGACTGTTTGTATATAACATAATAAAAACTTGACATTCGAAGTTAAACTTTTCAATGAGGAAATATGTGAACATATGCATTTTCATTGAAACTTTAAAAAAGTGAAATTCTGTTAGTTTTTGGAAAAAGGAAGCATTGAATCTAACCTCCCGAAATCTGATGAATGGGAATTCATAATCTTGACACCTAGAAACTGCACAAGGCATATCCTTATCCACACAATTCCTTATTCAATTGGTAAAATTTGTAGGAAAGCCTATTTCCTTGGGTATTTGGCCCTCAGCTAAATGAAATGGAAATAGTCATGTCTTACGTTCAGCTACTTAATTACAACAAAATGTCAAGTTTGAGAATTGCCAGCAGATGGCACCATATACATGGAAAATAATACATAAAATTAAATGGAAATTCTCCTAGTTTTCTGTATCATCATCAGATTACTGATAATTATTCTCTTACTTGGATAATAGTTTCTAGTAAAAATGTTGTAGCTGACACATCTGAGGAATAAGGCCACTCTATTCAGCCAGATTTATTCCCAGGAAAATAAAGATTGCCTCTTCTATCTTATTAATGGCTGCTGTCCCAGGTTACTATGGCCTGACATTTACTATGGCCTACTGTGACATTTATAAGACAACAATATAATGGAGATACTACATTTACTGAATTAGTCAGCCTAGGATGTTTTATAAATGTTCTTTATTAGTGATTTCCACTGTCTCCCAAAGTGCAATCTTCCTATAGTATAATGACCTGCATTTGTCCACCCCTTGAGAATAACATACTCACTGCAGACATCCATCCTGAGAAGAGGCCATATCTACATACTGCTTTAGAGCAAAGCGGAACGACTCTAGTTGTTCTGTGATTACTGACATCTCACGTTGAACAATCATTATTTGCTGGCAAAACAGTAGTGCAATCTGATTAATTGACATTTATACTGTCATCAAATTATCTTTTTTTATTTTTAAACTTATTCTGAGATTGTTTTTCTAGTTCTTCCTTGCAAGCCACATTATTCTGGGTCCATTCAATATGTCAGCCTTTCCCCCCCTAAAGATATATATATATTTTGTATTATCAATTCTGGGTTTCTCTTTCACATGCTATCTTGTTTTATGAATTCAACATGTAAAAATGCTTCTAAAGCTTACTTCTAATATATGTTTATCTAGGCTTTTAAAGCAGCTTATTCAGCTAGAATGCACACAAAGTGTCAAGGTAAATAGCTATCATAGGAAATATTTAATCTGTTCATTGATTTTAAAATGGATCAGTCAATAAATGACTAAGTTTGAACCCAGCTCCAAATGATAAAGCAAAAGCAAAGTTTTTCATGTTTGAGTGCAGGAGTAGAGCAACATGCAAATAAATAAACTTGTGTGATTCTTGGATCATGTTTCTAGAAAGCCTTTATTAGAAACAAGTGCTACAAAAAATTGTGGATTAAACAGAAGATGCCAGCCTTAGCAAGTCCCAGAAAAGATTTAGAACTCTTCCTTCTGCTTTTCCATTCATATGTATTCTATGGGGTGGAGTTGGGAAATATTACTTACAGATTTAGTATTTCCTTCTGAAACATCCTCTTCTAGTGGCTCGAGCTTTAGGTCCTTGTCAACCGATAAAGGGAAAATACAAAAGTGTTAAGTGTTATCTAGTGCTTTAACAATCGTCACTAATAATGAAAAATCACTAATACTGTGATTCCTAATCTATTTTGGTAGAAAATATATAAAAATGAAGTGGAATTAAGGGTATTGAAAAAATTATTTCCCCTTCTTGGGGAAACAGTCTAGCATTGTCCCCTGGATGCAGTAGCTTGTATATGGAGATAAGTGAGAAGGGCTCCATCTATGGAGATTGCTAGAATAAATACAAACATTTCTATCATCAGATCATTTCAACACAAGACTATGCCAAGGGAGCATCATATCCCGCCAAGTAGAGCCCTCTTCTGATTTATGGCTGACCATAAAAGCCAATTTTTATGGTCAATAAATTTCCTCTTTCAGAATTAAAAACTAGTTTTGTCTGGAATTGGTTGAAGATGGTCCACATGACAAACATTAGGAACTATGGTGCTGCAATGATAAAGCAAACAACAGTAGATAAAACATGTTGACAGATGGTGATACATTAATAATTTCAGCTGGTCAAATCTGCAGTAAAATAGGATTTGCAATGGGTGGTAGATTAGAAGATAATCTACTTGTAAAATATCACTTTTTAAAAATACGGATTAAAAATAAGTATATCCTGGACAATCAAGATGCATCCTTTCTCTCAAATGCAATACATCATGCCTCCTGGAACTTCCTTTATGCACGCTGTTTAATAATTAATAAAACTTTACATACTCTATGGTGAAAATCAATAAAGATATTAAAAGAGCAAGAGTATGTCTTAATTTGCTCTGAATTCATTGTGTACTTTTTGTAACATACTAGTTTTTGTTGTGTACCTGCTCAATGGCAAAGAACAGATAGATAGATAGATAGATAGATAGATAGATAGATAGATAGATAGATATAGATAGATATAGATATTCCTGATACAGATGTGCCTTTTCTTGAACTTATTTTTAAATAAAACTTCCTTTCCCCCTATTTTTTTTTAATTAAGTCACAACCCCTGTTCTAATTCACATCATATTCAAACTGGATCTTTCTTTTGTCAGCTTCTCTCACCACATAAAATTTGATTCCGTTGTATTCTGTGGTTGGAAAGTTGTTCTATCAATAAGTGGATGAACAGACTCTTAAGTGCTGGAGGTAATGGACATGCCTTGTACTGTGCTGCTTTTTGGTTTAGTGAAAATATATAAAAGAGTTAGTGGAATGAAGGGGGTCTATAAAGAGTACACATCAATGTGTCCTCTTTCTAGAACAAAGTAAACTTCAGAGATTCTTAAAAGAAAGAAATCTTAAATACTGAATGAATCCTATTTCTTACAGAAGCTTCCAGTAGCAAAGAGGGAGGTAATGAAGTTTTCATGCACACCTTCTGTTCTAGCTTATCAATCAGCTTCTGAAGTCTGTTTATTTGGCTCATCCACTGGTTGTCCTCCTTGTGCAAACCTTTGTAAAACATACATACCTGAATTGAAAACATGATTGAAGATTGTACTTGCTTAATAAGACAAACTTTTATGATATCTATGTATTGTTTCTTGGCGAGGGAAGGGAATTTTTGTTTCACTGGACAAGTGATGCAAGTAAAGTATAAATCCCATTTTGATTCTGTCTTGATTCAAATCTTTCTACTGCTGCTTTCTTTTGCAAATGTAGAAATCTCATTCCTCATAGATTGCTTGCACTGTATCAAATTTGCCGCCCATCCCTGAATAAATATTAGTAAAGATAAATATAACTGCAAGTTTAATTCAAGCCCTCTAAATTTTTTGGGGCAGCCATTTTGTGGTTTGCTGTTTTCTTCTGTTTTTTAAACCCTCCTTTATCACCAGTAATCTTGGAATTTATTATTTATGCACACACATAAATGACTTCTTATTTAAAACACTGCACAGCAGTTTAAAACTCCAAAATAATTCCTCATTTAAATTCTAACCAGGATCAACTTTGCTTAATTTCTGAGAGCAACCAAGGCTAGGTGTCTGCTAAAGTGAGTATTGGTGGGAAGGGAGAAAATTCCTTCAGAAAGTCAACAAGAGGCTTGCATCAACCTGCCAATTGTTCAGAAGGAGGGAGATACAGTATATGTTCTCCACATCCAACTATAGTAAAAACAGACCATAAAGGTGGAAATGGCATTTTCATCACAGTGGGTTACCAGGATGAATATAAGTGGCTACTTCAAATTATTTTGTATACAATATATTTGTTTCTGAATATATTAAGATGTATATCTAAAAATATCATAATTCAAATACTTAAAATATTCAAATATTTTAAACCCTGCAAGACATTTAAAGTTGTTGCGGACATCTGGCAGATATAAAGCCAGTACTGTACACAAACAATGTAAATATTAAAAATGATCAGAATATAAGAAATGATCGATTATATCCATTTTTAAAAAATGAAATTTATTTCTTCATTTTATATGACGTCTTACTTGCACGAGTTTTAAAGAATGAATAAACAATGGTAAATGTTAAACAATATTACCTGGGTTCAAAAGAGGACTAACTGGAGAAAAACTATTATTTCTCTGGACCCTTCGACCTGAACGTCTTCCTGGGTGTTGTATTTTGAGCACCTCTGGCTTCTTTGGAACTTGTCTTTAGGGAAAAAAATGCATAAAGCTGTTCAGTATTTAAATTATTTGTATTTTTAATCTGTTTGCAACCCTTTACATAGACAAACCTTGTTAAACTTTCCCATTGTTTTTGTTTGTCACAAAATTGACCCTAAATACACTTGTTATCAAAATAAAAACCAGGCAAGTTAAAAACAAAACCAGCAACAAGAATACAGCTCTAGATAACATTATTTCTATTTCTATACTGAGTCAACATGATTATATAAAAAGTAACAGACCCCAATATATTTATTATATTTACATCTTTATTTTTATCCCGTCTTAAGCAAGGAGATCAAAATAGGATTCTGTCCTCGTATATGTTCCCATAACAATAGTACTGTGAGGAAGGATGAGAATGTCTGCCTAAAGTCCTCTAGCGAGAATGAGAATCATGAAGGATCACTTTGGGAGTGACAATTTGCTTTGATTAAACTGTGGACCAGGCAATGGGACAGAAAGCTCCAAAATAGTTCCTTTTTAGTTCAAAGACAATGGAACCAGAAAAAAGAACAGCTCAACAACACAAAAGCTCCCTTGACATCACTACCTGGACATGGATTCATTGGGAAGGAAGAGTCTTGAAATAGAAGGAATAGTTAGGGAATAATTTGTGGGCCTTAGGTACTTTCAAGCAATCTAACTACAAATCTCGGGGCAGGTTTTATTTTGTAGAAGTACTAGCAAAGTGTCATTCTCTAAATTAATTGAGCAAGACATTGGTCCATAGCAGCTTTCCTAAAATAATTTCCACCATGCTGCCACTGGGACACTATAGTAAGAATCTTACTGCTCTTGGTGGGTTTGTTCTTCTGTGGTTTCTATGGCACATTCCATGGAATTATGTAGAGACTGTAGTTGATTCAGGGTTTCTTTTAACAAGAAGCGAGTCACAAACTGTTCCAACGTAGAAGCCTCTTGATAATTCTAAAGCAAATGGGGAAAACTGCTAGTAAAAAAGAAAAAGCTTAACATTTCTCAGCTACAAGCACTTTCTCCAAAATAATAGTTTCTTACAGTCATAATTCTAAAATCTGATATGGTATGTTCCAATTGTTATTCCAAATGGAAAATTGGGGGGAAAGTTAACAATGGTAAACCATATTTACATTTTTTCAAAAAAAATTATGTATGTTTCAAACTAATCATCAAGAATCAGCCTTGTGGCAAGGTAAGTGGCCCTCAAAGAAGGTTAAATCATATTAAATCATAATATGGTTAGTTTAATTTTGCTTATTGTGTTGTCTGAATTCCTCCATTGTAGATTGTAAACCATGATTTATGATATTATTCAACTCATATGCTTGGGGTTTGTTCAACCAATCATGGTAAACAGCAACAGTATGAGATACTGTGACTCATTCAACTATGATTAAAACAAGTCAATAAGTAAAAACTTATTTTGGACTGTTATTTTGCATTCTTGTATCTTGTATTCAAGATTTGCTTTATTTTAAGATTATTGGAATATAAACTTTTAGTTATTTATATTTTCACCTTGTTGAAGCAATTCTCAATCAAATAACTTGGCATATTTATCATCACAAGGAAACTTGAAAAAATGTTAAAGGCAAATTAACATTAGGACATGCTTATATTCCAATGACTTTTAGAAGCCTTATAGTGAAAAATAACCAAATGACCAATTTAAAAATCAGTAAAATACAGATTTGTAATTGCTAAACTTAATGTTAAAAAATATATCTACCTCTCATTTAAAACGGAAAAGAATTCAGGAACATTGATCAAAAAGTCTAGTACTATAAAACCTCACCTGAATTCTCAATGAATGATTCTTGAGGAAAGCATCTTCCCCTTGAAGATGCTTAGCCTTACCCCCTTCCACCCATCCAAATGATAAGTGGCTCTGCCCAATTTGTGAGGTTTCTGATTAGATAAAAAAGTGAAGTTTGCCATCTTTTTCAATATGAGACTTGCTACAAATATGTGCAGCACTTTAGCTGTGACCTTGGTGAGGATGTAGCAGGGTTGGGATCTTCCCGGATCCTATTGGCTGCTTTTAATAGGTTACTTACTGCTGTTCCCTCCGCCCTGCAATTTATCCATCAACCATGCCATTTTTGTTTTCTAAGCCAGTGGGCCAACACAAACAAATGTCCTAGAAGGAAGGCCATTTTGTGAAGCAGTGCAGGCCTTCACCACTCTACCCTTGATCTGCTAAGCATTCAACTTCCTACCCAACACACAGATCATCTGAAGATGTTGTAGGTGGTACATGTGATGAGCTAAGGCATTTCAGTAAAACAAGAATGGAAACTTGTCATCTATCAACTTGCCTCCTCACCCATCCCCATACATTAAGGAGAGTGAATCATGGGTGTCTCACTTGCAAAAACTCCATTAATAGCCACATCCTAATTTGCCCCACCGTGAACTATTAAGATAACCACACCTGTCAAGTCAGACTAAGGCGCGGCTATGAGGATGGAGCAAATGATGCTGGCATGCTCATAGATTGGACGAAAATGTGTTCAATCAGTAGTCTGAATATATTCTTTATGATTTCAAATGGTTTTTATATCAGCTTGTTTCAGTATGTGTTGTATAATTACAAAATCATAGCAGTACAATAATACCATTCAGTGAATAGCAATCAAATATAAACTATCTTAAGTTTCACACAGAAAGCAAGGAAGAGTATAACATTTTTGTTATTACAGATTTAAAAAAAAAAAAAAAAGGCCAGAAGTATATCTTATTTCTCTTCTGTTTGTGGTAAAAGATTAAGCAGTTATTGAAAGCCCAGTTGTCGCTCATCTTAGAAATTGTCCACATTAATAGATAACAGAAGGCATATTTTTCACAAATATTTATTTAGCACTCATGAACATTAATCAAGCCTATAATACTACCAATCACAATAGCAGTTATTTCTACCGTTAATTGGGAAGAAAAATCCTGAGAAATTAAATTACATGTCCCTGTTTTTAAGGTGAAAGCAACTCTGCATGAAAATATTTGTGGCTGATATTTGAAAGTGTCAGAACTCATTTGTACAAGTAAAGCTAATTTCTGTCTTCCTCTATTTGACAAGGCTGTCTGTAATTAAATTAAGGATGATGTTTCTGGAAAACATAATATAATTGCTAGTGGCTTTCATTCTCTAGACATGAGGCTAGAGCCATAAGGGAGAATGTTGCTAGAAACAGACAATAAGACTTCTTTTTCAGTGGACTACAAATATTTGAACTAATTGTACCTGAATAATTATATATTTTGTGGCAAATGAATGAAGAAAGATAGATTAATTATTAGGAGATCTACCTTTCCTGTATAAAGTTCAATAATATAAAAGGTGTATTTACATCCCTTACTTAGGGATGATCAGAGGATCTTTCAAAGTCTGCCAACATCACAATTTGTCCCCTGGGCCAAGAATTTTGCTTTGAGAATTACTGTACAAAATTGTTTTCAATCATGCTGATTCTATTAGAAAGAAATTGTTTTTTTTCTTCTTCAAAGAAGAACAAATCCAGGAAAGGCTGCAGCTGATGCACAAACCAAAGCTGTGCAAAGGTTCTCCTAGTCACAACCTGATCCTTTTCCTTCTGGTTTGCTGTGATCCAACTTTTCTTAGAATTGATAGTGTCTTTGAACTTACTGCACCCTAAAAAAAATGTAAAGGATATCAGGCTTTGGATTTTTCTTCCTTTCCAATCTCCCTATTTGTTTATATATCCTGTTGTTGATGTTGCTTGAGGAAAACAGTGATTCATTTGTAAACATATACTCAGCTGTTCTTCAGGTTTAGTCTCTAGCATCTCCAGTTCAATATGCAGGAAGCCTTTGACTTATTATCACAATTGAGCACAACATTTCTGTTGCTAAGTGAGACAATTGTTAAGTGAGTTTTTGCCCCATTTTATTACCTTTCTTGCCACAGTTGTTAAGTGAATCACTGCATTTGTTAAATTAGTGACATAGTTGTTAAGTGAATCTGGCTTTCTCATTGACTTTGCTTGTCAGAAGGTCATAAAAGGGGATCATATGTCCCCAGGACACCGCAACCATCATAAATATGAGCCAGTTGCCAGGCATCTGAATTTTGATCACATGACCATGGGGATGCTGCAACAGTCATAAGTCTGAAAAACATAAGTCACTTTTTTCAGTGCCATTGTAACTTTGAACAGTCACTAAATGAATGGTTGTAAGTTGTAGACTATGTATAATCCTAGGTAGTCTGATTGTGAGGTTTGATTGTGAAAGTCCTCCGACTGAAATCTGTTGGAACCACTGCTGGTCAGTATTTACAATATTTTTCTATGTGTGTCATTTCTTATCCACAGTATGAGATTACCTCAGACATTCAAGTGAAAGGGCCATGTAGCACAATGTAGAACTCAGCCTTGAGATACAGAATAGTTGGCTTCCAGGTGAGGTTCAGTGGCAAACAAAACATGGAAGGAGCAGAGATGGCATTGTGCTGGAGATTGGTAGCCACATGGCAAATTTTGATTTGTATTAGTTCTTATTGGCAGGCCTTTTCTGCTTTGGAGCCTGCACTATGGAATCTTCCCCCAGGTAAGGTTGACTTCGTGTCTTCTGAGCTTCTGTAAGTCCCTTAAGATCTGGTTAAACCAGGGGAGAGGTGAACAAGTGAGGTGGCTCCATTATTATTAAGATTCCTTTGTCTGCTACTTCTTTATTCTTGCTTTGTTTTTATAGTCTTTTATGATTTAAATGTTTAATAATTAATAATGATAACAGTTTTTAGTGTTTGTAGGGTATAATTACAATATCTTGCAAATTTGATTGTGCTTCTTTTCCCTTCTTTGTTATATTCCAGTGAGTGAGTGAGGAGTCATTTGAGTCTCTTCTTAATACTCTCTGCCTTCCCAGGAACTGAACATTCAAAAATGCATACAAATACCATTGACTGGTGCTAAAGTTTGATACGGGTTGCTGCCAGCATCCTAGGTATCAACCAAGTATCTTCTTAAGATGTATGATGTTCCAAGTAGCGCAGTTTTTTGCAGTTCCGCTGGTGTTATTGCAGGAAGCTGCAATTTGCTGATGTATGTTATTAAATTCTTGGACATGGTACCAAGTGCCCTGATGACAATGGGTATCACTGTTAAGTTGTTATTATTATGATTATTATTATGATTATGATTATTATTGTTGTTGTTATTGTTATTAATACCAAGTATTTTCGTTTTTGCTGTTATTATTCAGACTACAAGAAACTTGTTATAAATAGCCTCTTTCAACAACATGGTTATAAAACAGATATTTTGGAAAGTTAAGTATTGCAAACGACCTTTAAAATGACATTTTAAATAATATACAAGTTTCTTTCTTTCATTGTTATCTAATGATGTCAATACTGTAGATTTGGATTGGAATATTTATGTATCAATATTGCAGCAAGATGATTAAAAGCATTGGTTCTATCCAAAGATGAAAGGGTATTTCAGGTAGTGTAATATCCTGTGTCAATGCTGTTCATCATTCCATTTTATCTAAAATGGTAAATTCCTTATAAATTGGACATATTAGGGGGAACAGCACATTGGGGACGTTTGCTCTGGTTTACACCTGCAAAAGATAGTGCTTCCCAGTGGATTCCTAATATATGAAGACCGCATTCTTTGCTCTTTATTTTTCCTGTATTTATTATCCCAAACAGCCTGTTCAGTAAATAGAACTGCAGTTGGCAATGTAAGAACTTTGTTAGATAGAGAAAGCAACTTTATGTGGTTGGCAGGTTTATAAGGGATAATAGATAAAATAACCAAAACAACAAAAGGGAGAGAAATAATGAGATGCCTCAATTATTTTGAAGGATAAAGCATTCCAATTTTAAGACACTGCTGTGGTAAAACCTTCTCATTTCTTCTTTGATCAGGCAAATTTTAAACTGACAGAGATGCAGGAAAAATCTTAGACCTATTGTTAATCTAATCACAGTTCTACTTTGCAACAGAAGTGACTCATAGCAATTCCCCTCCAGGATAGAAGTAATGAGATTTATATGCTACACTTATTCCCAATATCTCCATTACATATACAAGGACTTTCATGGGCCTTTGTCTTCCTTGCCTTGCATACTGTGCTTTGTAACACAATAGTAAAGCATTAGTCAAACATGATTTTGCCAGGTATCTTTAGCTATCTGATTCCTTCCTTTGAAAGTGAAAACAACACTAGCCACGAACAATGACAAGATGAAAACAAATACTGAATGTGCCAAGGAAATGAAACTGAAAAGTCTGTGGATCTTTGGGGGTTCTTGCAAGAAGGAATATCTGATGAAAATAGAGTACAATTCAACCTGTCTTGGTGAGAGTTTTAGTTATCCTTAAGTTGCTAATGAAACTCAGTCATATGTGAGGCAACTTTGAAATGTTCTATTCAAACAAAACCTTTGAAGGGATTTGAAGAAAAACAGAATACTTCAAAGTCTTCTGTTTTTCTTCAAATGTCTTCAAAGGTTTTGTTTGTTTTGAAAGAATAAATTCCTAATGCATATTTTTCATATTCAGGAAGGCATTCTATACCCATTTTGTACTGTTCTACTTCTGAACCACTGACTTATCATGCCAAACAATAATTGGTTTAAAAGTACTGTGAAGTAACATATGAACACATTGGTCCAGCCAATTGCAGGCCAGGCAAACTGCAGATATTCTGACTCTACCTTTTCTGTCATATAGACTCTCTCCCTCCAAAATGGCTGCTGAAGTTTTGGGAGCTTGAAGGTGGAACTCAGGGGTGGGTTCCACTTACCTTTACTACTGGTTTGCAGCGGGAGCGCATGCGCAGATCACCCCTGATGATGTTGTGGCGGGTGGGCGGAGCCTCCCGCCGGTTTTACTACCGGTTCTATAGAACTGGACAGAACCGGGAACAGATGGAACTCCAGGTGAAAAGGAGAAATAAAGTATATTTGGAAAGAGGACAGTAAATGCTGTCACAATATCTTCCAGCCTCTGCTTATTTTCAGAAAAAAAGAATCAGAAAGGGAATTTGATTCAAGGATACCTTATTTCCATGGATACCATGTCTTTCAAACATGGCAGCTTTAAGATGGGTGGACTTGCTGGCTGAGAAATTCTGGGAGTTGAGGTCTACTCATCTTAAATTGTCAGATTTAAAAAACACTGCTCTGGACAAATTTTAAAAAAGGGTTAAGGTTAACCATTGTGTTCTTTTTGTGTTAATTCAGCAGTATTATCTCTTAATCTTTTTACTTTTAAATTTTAAGAAAATTAAACTTTCAGCTATCAGTCTTCATTACTAAAATCAAGCTAGACTCCAAAAATATATTTTACTCTGTAAGGTTAGTTGATGAATAAAGAAGTGTGGTTACTTGGCCAATTAGAAGATAAACTTTGAAGCAGAGTGCCCATTTGAAGCTTCTCTTGGCTTGATCCATATATTTGAGGAATCCAGATGCTTTCAATTTTAGGCATAATCTTTGTGGGGAGAGATTATAAGAGTTCTTATACAAAATACGTAGTAACTTGGGATCATGAAGGAACCTAATTAATTATCTAATCAATAAATATTTAACCTGAGATTGATCAGCTTGACTCTTTTCCTCTCTGCTCCTGCTCTACCTAGTTACTGTGGATACTAAAATGTAAGTTTTATTCCATGGCTTAATTGAGCCCTTTTCAAGTAAATATGTCAATCAAGAAACACACTGACTGGGGTTATATTCCAACATCTCTCGATCATCTTTCTTTCAAGGCACAGGTGTGAATTAATGCGTTCAGTCTCAGATGAGAGTGTCTGAATAAGTGTTTCTTCTACCTGGCCTCACAAGAAGCTGTGATTACATGAGCAAAGGAGACAAATGTTACATTGGTTAAAAAAAAAAATCCCTACCCCACTATACCTCATTATAGACTTATTGATTAGTTGTGACTCTACAATTGTTGCTTCAGTTTTGTTTTGAGTATACTAGAAACTGAGCCTGAGACATTTTTCATGAAAAGCATGTATTCTTTCACTAAAGTACAGAAATAAGTGAGATATTGGATATCTTCCTAAAGTTATCAGAAAGCAGCATATTTCATTTTATTTCATAAATAATAATTTCCACGTTCCTCCTCCATACCATTTCAGATGAAACCTGAGAACCTAGTAGGCCCTTCTAATATTGTTGGACTACCTTATATTCTTATCTGATAATTTGATATACTGGTGGGAGCTAGAACTGTATGCAGTGATCCTGTAGAATAGATAAACATTTTCCAACTGTGCTGAGAGTCCCATTCAAATTAGAATTTAGTATTTGAAGTGATAAAAAATGTGAATTCATTTTATTCAAGGCAATAAAATGTATCAACTTTACATATTAATCTCAACATTATTTAGTATTTTGAGTTTCCATGCACCACTGGCTACAGTTAAGAAGAAACAGTGGGGGGGGGGGAAATACACTGATATAATATATAATGCAGAGGATGGGTGTATGTGTCAATTTAACCTTGGAGCCTTGATGGAGCAGTGGACTAAAGCGCTGTTAAATAGCACTTAGCTGCCAGCTGCCTGCAATTACTGCAAGTTCGAATCTCACCAGGCTCAAGGTTGACTCAGCCTTCCATCCTTCCGAGGTAGGTAAAATGAGGACCCGGATTGTGGGGGCAATAAGATGACTTTGTATAAAAAAGAACACCGCTTGGGGGCCCCCCAAAAGCGCTACTAAGCAGGTATATACAAAAGTATGAAGGTTATTGCTTAATGCATTGTAAGCCGCCCTGAGTTTCCAGGGCGGCTTATTTATTGGTTCGATTACAAAATCGAACCAATAAATAATAAATAAATAAATAAATAAATAAATAAATAAATAAATAAATAAATGTCTATGCCCAGGCCCTAGAAATATTTCAAACAAACTGGAAAGAGCTGATGGAACTGGGATTGATGATCACTTTGTCCTCCATCTAAGCAAATATAGCAATTCTTTTCTCACAAAGCAAATTCTTATATACTTAAGCAATTCCAGCCCCCATTACATCATACAGTTGGAAAAATAACACAAGGAACCCTACTTTCTTTGTAGTATCCATTGCCTTCAGTATGGCTACATTGAGATCCTCCAAAGCAGATAGGACACTTTCATAAGCTCCCAGATGCTGGGAAAAATATTCTAAAATAAATAGAAATACAGAATGAGAAAGTGGAAAGATTGAAAAATCAAAATGGAGAGGGAGGGAGGGAGGGAGGGAGAGAAGAGCATAAGCTGGGTCACCCAAATCCTTTAGAATAGTAGTTTATAAAGGCCTTAATACTGAGTAAAAGTGGTAAATCCCTCTGAATGTACTTTGTTCTGGTTTTATTTTAGCAGTAGGAAAAGAAAGAAGGAAGAAGAGGAAGAATAAGCAAAGAAAGAAAACGTCAGAATGTAGTTTATGAAAGAGAAAGAGGGCAGACGGAGGGGTTTATATGCTTGCTTCAGAAATTATAATAAAGGTTAATTAGGAAAATCAGGGTGAAATACCTTTCCAAAAAGATTTTTATATTAAAACACAATGAGCAAGACATTTAATATAACAATGCAGTATTGCCTCTGTAAACAGATACAGACATATTCCTGTCCCCAACCAACACAATTCTAAAGTCATTGCATACATCCCAGGAAAATTTATCCACTAATGCATTAAAGAGCTAAGGGAACATCATACATTGAACTCCTTACTTTAATAATAAACAATAAACTTTCTCACAATCGTATGTTGCTCAAAGATCTGCTAAAGAGTAAAAATTTGATCTGAAGACCTGCTAAGATAAAATTACTGTGCATATATCTACTCCTGTAGTCTTACCATGTTTCAACATTCTCATTGCATTTATGACTTGCTTTTAGTCAAATTACTTCTTAGGCACTAACAATAAAACAAATGCAACTGGCCTTATTCAGACTCACTAGTTTTCTCTCTCCTTCTAGAAGCGATGAATTTGATTCTTTTATTTTAATTAAAAAAGAATTACTTACCAAAGAATTCTCCAGTTTCCAAGTTGCTGCAAGGAAAAGATATAATATAGAAAATGCATTGCTATTTTGTGAATTCTGTCATCAACTTCTTTTAATTAGGTTTGTACACCAACTAATAATTTAAGTGTGAGTTTGTAGGTTAATATCAAGTGTGCTTGACCAGTTTTTAATTTCTATTATGTTGATTTGCATGGATTAAAGTTTACATACAATTTATTTATTTCGAGCAAAATATGCAGCTCAATTGCATCTCAAATAAATTTTCCAAGTTTTCAAGCTTGAATAGCAAGTTTGAAGTATGCTTTACCATTAAATGCAAAATGGAACAGTTGAAAATGGCACAGCAAGATAATAACAAGAAACTTTCTCAAATAAAAGATGCACCTATAAATTCAATTTGCTGCCTTTCAGCATGAAGAGTACTTCAAAGACTCTATTTTTTTCTCTACCGAAATAACAACTTTGAAAGAGAATACCTGTCTCTTTCTACAGGAACTACAGAATAGAGAACTGGAATAAGCCTTAACTGATGTAGAAAATTTAGAATATAAAGAAATTGTTGACCTACTGGAAAATGAAAAATGTGGATTATAAAATGGATATGACAATTAACATGAAAATACAAATGACAATCCAAGATGTCCTGGACAGTGACTTTTTACAGGATTTACAAAAGAGGTTTGTTAAAGAAGCAACTTCTGCAATGGGATAAGGAAATCTGAAGAGGCATCAAACCCTATGACAATATCTGAATGAAATGATTAGGATTTCTAGAAGCAAAAGAAAGAAGTGCAGAGTTGGTTGGTTTCTATAATATCTGGGAACGCTTTATGGACTTTTGCTGACACCAGGGCTGAAATGTTAATGATTTGTAGATTTGTGTATGGATAAGGGATGGATTATTGAAAGAAAAGCTATTTTCATGTAACTTTATAGGGGGGGTGAAGAATTGCTAATTTTGTTTATATTTGTTGTAATGAAGATTGGAAGTTATTTCTTTCAATCTTTTCTTTTTCCTCTTTTCCTTTTTCTTACACCTATTCACCTTCTTTTCTTTTTTTAGCTTGTATTATATTTTATTATTTTCTTCTTTAAAAAACTTTCAATAAATTTTATTTTTTAAAAAAAGAAATGAAAAAAACCTATACATATTTGCAGACAGAAAGGAGGACCAAAAAGAAGCAAATTCAGGAAGCAACCTCTCCCTCAGTTTATTTATTTAAACAGTTTATATGGTTGCCTATTTTATTCTTCTTACTCTGGGTAGCTAACAAGACCTTAAAAAAACCAAGATAGAAGACTTGAATAACAAAAAATAGAACCATAACAACAACAAAACCATGAGAACCATGTACAATGGGGCAGAACCCACTAAAAACAATTTCTTGCTCAAATTGTATATGGCAAGCTTGCTTAATATCTTGCCCCCACACCTGGGAAAAGAACCAGGTTTTAAAGCCTTCCTAAAGGCTAACAGGATGGAGGCCATCTATATCTCTGAGGGAAAACTGTCCCAAGAGGGCAGGTTCTGGGACAGAGAAGCATGGGCCTTTGTGCTCTTGTTCTAATGATATATCTATCACAGAGTTCCCCAACCTTTCTGGCTTTGTGGACCGGAATGGGGGAGAGAGGGGATGATTCCCTGCAGCTCTATTTGCACAAGCGGTGTGTATGTGTGCCCAATGCTCACACAAATGGAGCGCGTGTGCACCAGTGGTGGGATTCAAATTTTTTTACTACCGGTTCTGTGGGCGTGGCTTGGCGGGTGTGACATGGCTTGGTAGGCATGGCAGGGGTAGGATACTGTAAAATCTCCATTCCTTCCCCATTCAGCAGAAGGTTACTGCAAAATCCCCATTTCCTCCCGATCATCTGGGACTCGGGAGACAGAGAATAGATGGGGGCAGGGCCAGTCAGAGGTGGTTTTTACCAGTATTCCAAACTACTCAAAATTTCTGCTACTAGTTCTCTGGAACTGGTCAGAACCTGCTGAATACCACCTCTGGTGTGCATGTGTTTGACTGCTGCTCATGCAAGTGGGGATGCGCGTGCATACGCGTTTGCCTGCTATTTCCCCACCCAATTGCAACCACCTCATGGCCTGCTAGTGGGCTGTGGCCCAGAGGTTGGGGACCCCTGATCACACTGCAGTTGATCTCATTTTCTGAAAGGCAATCGCATTTTGGAAACTGAAACAACACACATTGAAGGGGTTACAAGGCAGATCTTGTACCTCCTTTTTTTCCATTCAAGGGAAACTAGTGAAACTAGAAGCAGGTTTACCGGTTAATAATGGCAATAAATGCTTTCTAAACATATTTTTCCCAATGGCTCCATTTGTAAAAGGGATAGATGCATATTTTGAAAGACAGTTGAAACTAATAATAAGCGTGTGTCAAAAGTTCCAGTCTGAACATCTGGCTGACTGGGCGATGAATCCTAATTGTAATTTTTAATATGCTCTGCCTTAGAAAAATTCATATAATACAAATTCATAAAAATCTAAATTAGACATTCTATGGACATTCCATGACTAGAGGCAGATTAATGTGCTTGAAACAGTTGCTAAATGGCACATTTAGAATATCTATAGAACGGTACCATGAAAACCCCAATTATGTAGCCATGCCAACTAAAAAGAACCTTCCATGCCTAGAGCTTCTATACATGGCTACCTTCTACAGATTTCCCAATGTATGCTACTATAGCCCCTGTAAACCATAATAGGTGGTTTAGAAAAATGAAAAACAAACAAATAAATGCAGTCTACTATTATGGTGCTATAACCCTAACAACACTGTTACTTATGTGCATTCTTGAATGAATGGAGAACTTCAAAAATGTGCTACAAAAGCCTTCTCATTCTTCAATAGTGTGGAGAGCACTTCCCTATAAAGTTGCCAAGAATTGGACATGATTGAATGATTAAAACAACAACAGCCTTCTCATATTTACAAGCACATTCAACAAGCTTATGCAAAAGAAAAGTGTTTTGACTGTTGGCCAAACCCACCTTTCCCTTTGATAGATTAAAAGAAGAACACAGAATTAGCCATTTGACCAAACTATTTTCCTTTTATCTAGGGCAAAATCAAGTTTTTACATAGTTGCTTAAAACAGAAAGTGCTTCTCTCTATCTCAATACCTTTAGCAAGTTTTATTTTCAGGAAAGGGAGAACATTATACAACTTGCAGCAGTGAGCTATTTTCCATTTAGAACCACTATATTTTGTGTATATTAGGGTGGAGGCTTTTCTATTTTCTTTGAAGCAGCCTCCCCATGGTCTAGTGAGATGGAGGTCTGGTTTTCATCCAAAAGAGAGAAACTGGCAGCTGGCTATTTGAATGATAGTTTCATGACTCTTTATTCGTGTGGAAACCACCTCTTACACCAAAAAAGTTTTATCTTTGATGTTGTCTCCATCTTCTTCTGGGTCTGCCTCATGTTAACAAATAACAGAATAACTGAGTTGGAAGGGACCTTGGAGATCTTCTAGTCCAATCCCCTCCTGCAGGAAACCCTGTATCATTTCAGACAAATGGTTGTCCAATCTCTTATTAAAAATCTCCAGTGTTGGAGCACCCACAATTTCTGGAGGCAATTTGTTCCACTGACTAACTGTTCTAACTGTCAGGAAATTTCTCCATAGTTCTATGTCGGTTCTTTCCTGGATTAGTTTCCATCCATTGCTTCTTGTCCTGCCTTCAGGTGCTTTGGAGATTGACCCCTCTTCCTTGTGGCAGCCCCTCAAATATTGGACCGCCGCTATCATGTCATTTCAGTCGCATACCAAATTCCTGCAACCATTCTTCATACGTTTTAGCCTCCAGTTCCCTAATCATCTTTGTTGCTCTTCTCTGCACTAGAGTCTCAAGATTTTTTTTTATATTGTGGCGACCAAAACTGGATGCAATATTCCAGGTGTGGTCTTACCAAGGCATTATAAAGTGATATTGTCATTTCCAACCTTCTGGTAAAAGAAGAACAATAGTTTAGCTTCCTCAAACTGTGCCTTTGCAAGTTCAGGATACCTGGAATGGACCACAAGAAAGTGGACCCATTCATAAAGACTGGGAAGCAAGCACTTTTATCCCCAAAGCAATCTTGAGCCTGGTTGGTATGAAAGAGACAGAGGCCCTGCTCACAATCCATGGCAAAGAAGCTTGAAGGCACAGCTGCTATTAATATATTAATTGCTACAGACGGGAAGGTAATGGCAGATAACAGCTGAGCTTCATGTCTCTAATCGTAATTTCAGATTGTCAAAGAGACTGATGTTGAGATCAGTTCTAGCAAAAAAGGGATGCAACATGAGTTTTCTAATTTGCATTTTTGAAAATGTTAAATGTTAAATATGCAATTATCACGTTAGACATGATTGACAGAGCTCTCTCCTGGACTTTGACCTTAAATGGGTTGCCATGGCTTTTTATTGCTATCTGCCAAGACTTGTGAAATTATAGCAGCTGCACCAAATGCAAACACCAAAGGAGAAATAATGCCACCAGCAAGATATTCATAGTATAACTACTTGCTAAGTCCAAACACAAAGTGTGTTTAACTTTAAGGCTACAGATCTGGCTACAGATCTGGCCTACAAAAATCTGTACCATCACAGATGGGAACAAAGAGTTAATGTTCACCACAGAATATCATTATGCTGCCATCCAATCATCATTTGAATTTCTAAAGCCTAGATCTGGGAACCCTACAGAACTTAATATAGCCCAATAAAGGCAGCCCTACATACATAAAATACATGGATATTTTAATCACAGAATATGGTTCAAACTCAGAGCTGGTAACTTGGAAGACATGCTTATTTGGTTGGCGTATTAGTTAGATTTGTAGCTAAATCCAAATCCAGAACATCATCTCAACCGTTAATATAACTGCAGGACAACAAGTGGCTATGATTGTTTCCCATCAGATACCATAAAATGAGAGTTGTAGGAATTAGGACTCCTGTATGGAATGCAATACAAATAGGCACAGAGGTTTTTGTTTAGGGGCATCTCTAAATTATATTTAAATACAGATGCACAAGGAAAGCATGTGTATGTATGCATAACATTCTTCTTGGAATCCAATAGAATTTGTAGGGACATTCCTTCATCTTTTGAATTAATAGTGTCAGGGATGTTTATATGGGAGCAGCTTTACAATTTTGAAAGGATCCCAAAGGTGCTTTTCAAAAGGCAACTTGTGTTTTTTTCCTTGAAAACATTTCACTTCTCATCCAAGAAGCTTCTTTATTTCTCCTTGGATAAGAAGCAAAATGTTTTCAAGGAAAAAAACATGAAAGTCTAGTTGTCTTTTGAAAACACGTTTGGGACAGCCATAACCTGGATGACTGAGAATCTCCATAGACAGTTTTGGAAGGGAATTATTTTCCCTTTGCATAATAGTATTTTCAAAACATTTTTTTTTACTATTGGTCCGATAATGGTATAAATCACTGACACATCCCTATGCAAGCAAACTAAAATTCAAAATGGCAGAATGGCATTATAACAAATGGAAATAAAAAGGGGAAAGGCACTCTCTCGACATTTATATGACAAAAAACAATCCACTGTTACTCAGAGAGTATGGATAACTTTCCCACTCCACCCACCTCACTACTGTAGCCTGCATCCTTAGAAACATTTAAGGTTTATAGATTATGGATGAGGCTATTCATACATGTATTCATTTCATACATTATTTATAAAGCAGCAAGTTTACCTGACAAATCCATACCAGAAAAAGTCCCTGCCTCTGTGATTTCAAATTGATTATTTTAAAATCAATGCTACCTACTCTGTATTGTGTATGTCAATCTTCTGAAACAGTTGGTGAAGCTCCTCTATGCTCAGGATTCCATCCGCAAAGTAAGCCTTAAATTCATCAAAGGACAATTTGCCATCATCTGAAATCAGAGAAGGATTTGCTTACCCAGAGACATTTTACTCCAACTAATTTGAAGGTCATGACTTTTTATAAGGAAGCACCATAGGCTGTAATTTTTCCAGTTTATAAATTTCTGCATAAAATGAACTGCCCACCCCTCTGTCTCATACACAGATATAAGCTACATTATTATATTAGAAAAATGTATTTCTTATGACTGCAGATGGTCATTTTTGTTGTGCAGTGAAATTTGGTTGTCATATTCTTACAGACTTTTCACGAGTACTGTAGAGGTGAAGGGTTTTACAGGCACAGAAGTTGCATTGCCCTTGGGACCACCATCCCTGATTATTACAAAGATTACTGTAGATCACATGGAAAATAGCCAAAAGGATAGCCTGTGAAGAATCTGTCCTTTATGGAGTTTTTTTTTTTTTAACCAGTTGCCTTAGTGGTCAAATCAGCTCAAGAGTGCGAAGAGATGATCCAAAATCCAACACCTTCAAATAGTGTTTTACCAATTTATTGGGATTACAACTCCCAGAAATGCTACATTAACAATGGAGGTCTTCTAATCCAAATCCCTGCTCAGGCAGGAGACCCTACACCCATGATGGCGAACCTATGGCATGTGTGCCACAGGTGGCACGCAGAGCCCTCTCTGGGGACACGCGAGTCATCGCTCCAGCTCAGTTCTGCTGCGCATGCGCGCACACATCCTGCCGGCCAGCTGATTTTCAGGTTTCTGCCGTGCATGCGTGGGGGCGGGGTGCATGCGAGAGACATGTGTGCATGCATGGGGGCAGGGCACACACATGGAGGTCGTATGCACATGCACGGGTGTTGCGCACGTATGCACGGGGGTGAGGTACATGGGGTCACGTGCACATGCGTGGGGGATAGAGCACATACAGGGGTCAGCATGGATGCATGGGGGAGGAACACACATGATGGCTGTGCGCGCATTGCATTATGGGTGTGCACGCACTTTTGTGCACTTTTGGCACTCGGTGCAGAAAAGATTAGCCATCACTGCCCTACACTATTCAGGCAAATCATCCAGTATCTTTTGGAAAACCTCCAGTGATGGAGCACCCACAGCTTGATTCCTGTGTAGAAGGGCTAGATCTACTAGCCTTATTACACAAGAATAAATTCCGCTTATATTGTTGTGAATATTTGTTCCATCATCAGAAGCCATCAGTGCTAAATATTTGTCTACTAAGAAATTTTTGACCCATTTATTCTTTGAATGAGTGCCACAGTGAAAGGAAAATTCAATTTCAGTGAAAACTAAAAACGCAGGCTTTGCTGTACATGATTCATGAACAGAGATCTTTTCTGAAATGAAACTAAATGATCCAATTGTAGTATTTGAGGATAACCAATCTGCTATTAAAATGGCAACAAATTTGGCTGTGAAAACAAGATCTAAACACACTGATATTAGGTACTTAAATGTAAGGCAAAGTATACAGAGTAAGATGATACAATTGGAATATTGTATGTTGGAGAATAATATTGCTGATAGTTTTACAAAAGCTCAGGGCGCAATTAAACATAGCTCATGTTGTGAAAGTTATGGGCTAAGATTGTAAGCCATTATATATTGTCCTGTTAAAAGGGGAGTATGTTAGGAAATTGTTATTACCCAACTGGTTGGCCAGGAAATATATAAACCAACATTGTGTGTTTGTAGCTAAAAGTATTATATAGCTTTAAAAACTGTGTTGCATCATCATGCATCCTGATTGGCTGAGCTCTGTAGCCAATGTACTTAAGGAGACCTGAATTATGGTTTGTGTGAACACTACACCATTTTACCTGCTGATATCCTGTAAGTCTATATTTGATCTCTCTGCATGATCATTGCTTGATCATGGTTATTTATTGCTTCTCTAATATTTATTGAGTTTTTATATTGAACTGTGTTCCTGAATGAAACTAAAGATGGTCTGTTTTATTGTATTTTTCTACAACTGGTAAGAAGATTTTATATTGGAAAATATCCCTGAACTGATCTTTATCTCATTTTATATGTGTATGACTTGGAATGATTTTTGGACTATGATTTTGCTTTTTCCCTAAAAGCAAAATATTATCAAAATCCAGTTTTGTATGTGAACTGTTATTAACCACAATCATTCTCAGTCGCTTTTGTGTGTAAACTCAAAGGGTACTCTGCTCAATAACCCTCAACATCGGTTATTAGCCAAGAATATCCTTAATGACATTTACTTCAGGTACGCTAAAAGATAGCTCAATATTATACCAATTTCCTTTGCATCAGTGCTTTTTACCTACCTTCATAATCTTAGCTATCTGTTTTCTAAAGTGTTTCATTAGCATCTCCTCAAGTAGCCATAGAAACCTGTTCTGAGCAAGTAACATGATATTTGTTTTATCTGATAATTATGCATCAACGATTCTCTCAGCTTTTTTATCAGACTGCCATCCAACAGCTGGATTCTAGCTGTATAATGTTAAGTATAGCTGGAGTAAGATTTCTGAAAGGGAAGAAGATTTCCTTATACCGATATACTACACTTATACATGTAGTCCTCTTTTAGCGATTGACTCATTTACCACCATTCACAGTTACGATGGTGATAAAAAAGCAATTTTTAAAAAAATTATATTTTTACAAATACAAATCCTTGAATTTATGATCCTCACAGATCTGTAAAGCAAAGAAAACCTGAAATAAGATATTAAGCACAATCACTGGTTCTTTAGCAACCTCTTAACAGCCAGGTTGCTGGTCCCAATTTGATCACTAAACAAGGATTATTTGTAGAATCTTACATCATTTAGGTACATTGTATCAGAAAATACACAAGGATTTTAATATCTAATAAGTCTGTTGTTATAAAGCATAATTGTGAATTAAGCTAATGCAAAATAAATGTCCAACTGAAGCCCAGGTAGTATTATGCTCCTTCATCCTGGTTATGTATCTCCCAAGCAGCATGTTGTAGATAATTCAAGTCCAGACATTTGAAGGGAATACAGACTGCAAAAGATGGGTACAGTCGAATAATGTCAGGGCGCATAAGTATTAAAATTTACAAAATGGTGGGGCATAATTTCACAATCCAAACCCCTTTCATACCTTTCCTGATGTTGCACATAAGTGCCGAAGTGGAAGGACATGGATCATGATATTGTAGCCTCTTTTTGTAGGTGTTGACTGGATATGTTCTACCAATAAGACTGCATTTGGCAGAAACCTTTACTCAATGACCTGGGGATATGTTCTACTCAGGTGGCTATAACTCTGAATAGACTGAATAGAATTGTGCTATTAATTTTACTTTAAATAACTGAAATTTCAACTAGATAATCAATAGTAAAATCCATGATCTAAATGAAGAAGAAATATTTCCTTGAACAATTTTGTAACTGGTTTTGAAATCAGTTTCAAATAATGTTGCAGCTGTTTTTGTGGTAAAATGATAATTGGGAAAAATATTATAGTAAAGAATAATTGGAAAAAGGCCTAAGATTAAACCATCATTTTATTACCTAACAAAAGCAGTAAAATCTAAATGCAGTTTAATGCATTCTGAATGCAATTTCATGTAAGGGGGGAAATCGCAAACATCAGAGAAAGAGCCCAGTGCTAATAATTTGAAATAAAGGATGAATATGTTGTGTATTTTTTTTCTTTGGGTGAGAAGGTAGAATTGGCTTTTGTCATGAAGATTCCCTTCCCATCAGCTGCTTGGACAGATCTGTATGAAACTGGGCCAGTTCTATATTTAAAACAGAAGGTCAGTTTACATTGTCCCCAAATGTTTTACTACAGCTAAAAATCTGTTCAAGAACAGGAATCTCATATTAGTTTCATTTAGGGTTTCATCCATTCTGCCTCAGATATAGTTCTCATTTGCTTTTTTGTTTTTAGTTTATTTGGTTCACAGCTGTTCTTCCTGGCATATTATGAATGATACTAACATCAGGTATTCTAAACCATCCCTCCTCAGCTTTTCATCAGTTCTTAATTATTGGATTTTTAGTGCCTTGTTTTTTCAGAGCACTGCTGGAAGCTCTGCACAGCTGTTGCGCCACAGTTCCAGATTTGCATCTCTAGCTATGAAATCTTCTCTTCTGGGGCCTTTTTAAAGGCAAAAGCTTTGCTCGTATGTTGCAATGAAATGGGAAGATACTGGAAATAATTTGAAAAAGGGGTTTCAAAGCATGTAGCACCTGACTGGAATTCTTCAGAGCAGCTGTATCTTTTCCTGGCATCACAGGGAATTTGTAATACTTACTGTATTTCTGAGGGGAAAAATTACAGTCAGGGCTTTCCCCATTTTCATATTAAAGCTGTTTCCCTTCTGGACATCACTGTGGTGACATAAACCTCTCATTACTGTTTAAGTGGCGCAACAATGATTAAATACCTATCTAGAAGATGTGTAAATCCTTAGGGAGGGTCCTGCCTAAGCATAAATGTGTGTAAGACTCCAAGAAACACTAGTGTGTCAAAGACAAAGACTTCTCTGTCCAACCCCATGACTGGACCATTTATGGTCCTTGACCTAGTAGTCCACATTACTGCTAGAATGATACACAACAATATTTTTAGGCCAAGGACTTACTGGTAAGTGGTTAGTTTCAATCAATCAATCAATCAGAATATTCACTTAGTGTGTGGGTAAGCCTAACCACTATAGATTATAAACTGTTTTATAACTTGTCATGATCTATGGACTCACCATTGTTTATTTATTCAGCAAATAATGGTTGAGCCATGGCTTTACATGATGTGTAAACAAGCTTGTATATGTAAAGCGCTTTGGATAGATTTATAATTCCCATTCAACCATATATCCCAACAAGTCAGATGATCTCCACAGAGATGGCACCATAGATGCCCAGTGCAAGCTACAATGATGTTGCACGCAGCATGACATGATGATGATGCCATAGCAAGCATAGCATCCCTTGCCCACAGTCCCTTGTGGATTCCCATAATCAGTACCATCTAGATCAGTGTTTCTCAACCTTGCAACTTTAACGTGTGGATTTCAGCTCCCAGTATTTCCCGGGGAGCATGGGAGTTGAAGTCCACACATCTTAAAATTGCCAGTGATGATAAATCAACTTTCAAAGCCAGGTAATTTTGAAGTGACTAATTTACCAGCCACTTCCTCTCCTAGGGAAACAGAGAGCAATTGAACTAAATGTTCCTCCAAATCCCTATCCCTTACTGTTTTATTTATGTTCTGAGAAAGAAAAGCAAATGATTAGACTTACCATTTTTATCTGCTCTTCTCAGAATCTAAGAGAGAATAAACCAATATGTATCAGTATCAACAAAGAAATATTGTAATGCTTACCAGGACACACTTATAGTTCAGTAAACTTAGCAATGTTTTAAAGGATTTTTTAAAAGGCTTATTAAGCCTTTAAGCCTCCCGGTACAGATAGCACAGTACTACAATAGACAGTACAAACTATACTTTTGAAGAAAGGTGCATTTAGTGATAGTATTTTCTTTAGACCAATAGGTGGTACACATTTGCAATTGATTAGGTGCCAGATTGCCTTTGTATTTGGTGCCAGGTAAAACAGTTCACCTGTCAAGCTTTCTAATCAATTATGGGATGATGTATCAGACTGGCTGAAGACAATTACAGGGAACTGTTAGCTGACTAGGTGTTCTAATTCAGTGTTCTACTTTTTTGTGGTATTCTGGGAATATTTTACAATAAAAGACTGGTGTTGGAAATATTGATCCACTGTGCATCCCTACATCTCAGCAAGGAACTGGAATAGACATTTGTAATTGCATCATTTAATTAAATGGATGGATTTCTGGTAGGTAGAAGTCCCATACACTGGTGACCCATTTACATGAAACATTGTCAAAATTTATAGCTATTCAGTATTTGAGGATTTATCTATATGAGGACTGGAATCACCTATGACACTGAATATATTTGATGAATTTTAACCAGATATTCACATTTTACAAACAGTACAGCATATTTTAATATGTGATTAGGATTGCTGATACGTAGTAGTATTTAACAAAGAATAGTATTTAATAGAAGACATAAAAATAGTGTTTAAGATTTAACATATTTGGACAATTGGCAACCAATGATTTTACACTACCTTCCAAATCTAGCCCTATCAAGAACTTCTCATCTAAAAGGATTTTTATCTGGAAGGAGAAAATACATAGTGAAATTAAAATGTTTTATCTGATATTTGATACATGAAGTTTTTAAATATAGTCTGTTGCTACTTCTGTGCCAGGATTATTTTTTCCCTTTTTATAGTAACGTTATAACAAAACTGCTTTAAACAATATTCTTTTTGTGGTTTTTACTGATGTTTTAACATTTGTATGTATACAGTTATTGGGAGTTGAAAAATCACTTATATATTAAAATAAAACAATCTATTTAAATACTAAATTCTATGTATACTGCATAGTCTTCTATTTTCCATAGGATATATTAGATCCAACACTAATTAATTTGAAAGGTTAGCATTTTGTCTTTGATTTATTTTTAAATCAAACATGGTCCTAACAAATTGTTGTTCTATCATTTATGACAATTATATCCTGCTTTTGCTCCACAAGTTCCAAGTGTTGTACACGAATACCCTCTTTTTTTTTCACCACACTAATTTAATGAAATGTATTAATCAGAGATAATAAAGGAATTAAATCACCCTATGGCTCAGCTGATTTTAAAAACCACATCTCCCTTGCCCCAAACCAAGATTGGAAAAACCACTTTTCCTAATTATTGCTTAGCACACAAAATAAGATGGGTACATAATGCCCACACCCACCAATCATGCACTGATCTTCTAAGTTGCACCAAAGATTTATCTTTTATCATTTGAGACCATCCTAAGGAAGCATCAGGTAATCTAGCATTACTGAAATTCACAACACCTTTTCTAAATTTCCCATCCTGAACAACAAGCTCTTTTGCTTTGGAAATATACCTGTTATTAGAGCAAATTAAATCACCCGTCATACAAAATCATTGTGACTAATTTTGTAAATGCCAAATTTTAAATACTTACATTATTTTTTTAAAACCTGGCATTTTTTTTTTTAAAAAAAATCTGAGTAGAAGAACTAGTAAACTGTCATTTTAGTACAGAAAATGCTTTTGCTTTTCTTGGTTGTGCTTTTAAATGTCTAATAAAACAGCCTGGGGAAAATTGTTAATCTAAATCTGTTTTTTCTTATAGAGAAGAGTGCAAAGCAGCTTAATATAACTGCAATGGTCCAAAATCTGTGTTTTGTGCCTCAGGTCGTTTATCTTTCAGCCAGAGGGAATCTAATTTGGAGGACTCTAATAGGGCCCATAATCAAATAACCGCAATCTTTGTATTAGCATCCTTTGATAGGATAATCTTCTTATGATCAGGGAACTCTTGCCACACATCGATTTGGGGGCGGGCGAACCATTCCACAGGTTGAAAGCTTCCGCACAGAGAGAGAGGAGCAAAAGCCCAACCTGTTAACACGTTTGCAATAATTTAAAGGAAGAAAGGAAGGAAGGATCCCCCATCCCTCGTCCGCCAACCTCCATCCCGTTCACAAGAGAAAAGGGTCGAACTTCTCTGAAGCCCAAGGACCCAACAGATCAAAGGCAGAGAAAGGGAGGCGAAGGACCCGCCGCGCTTACATCCAGGAAGATGGAGAGCCCCTTGGTCATGGTCAGGGCAGAACTGAGCTCCTCGGAGGACTCGGGGGAAGAGGAGGAGGAGGAGGAGGAGGCAGGAGCTGCGTCCGGGATCTCAACGCCATCCATGCTTCGCTCTGGATCTTCCTTTGCGGCTATGCTGGGATGCGAGGAGAGAGGACGGCAGCTGCTGGCGGCTGTTCCTCCCGCTGCCAACGAACCTCCCCGGCTCTTCTCGGCCTCTCAGCCGAGTCCCCGATTCGCAAGGCGATCAGGAGGAGCCGCGGCGTCCGAACGAAGAAGGGTAACGCGCCCTCAAGCCCTCAGTTGCCGCCAGCCTTAGCGCCGCCTTCACCTGGCCTCTACGCTCTGCTCGCCGCCAAGCGTGGCGTTGAATGAACGCTGTTCCCCTTCTGTTTGCAACTGGGTGAAACCGAAGTTAAGAGCATACGCAGAGTGCCATACAGTACTTTTATCCCTTGGGCAGCCATCAGCGGAATCCTAATTGCAGGGGTGAAATCCAGCAGGTTCTGACAGGTTCTGGAGAACCGGTAGAGGAAATTTTGAGCAAGTCGGAGAACCGGCAAATACCACCTCTGGCTGGCCCCAGAGTGGGGTGAGAATGGAGATTTTGCAATATCCTTTCCCCTGGAGTGGGGTGGGAATGGAGATTTTGCAATATCCTTTCCCCAGGAGTGGGGTGGGAATGGGGATTTTGCAGTAACCTTCCCCTAGAGTGGGGAGGGAATGGAGATTTTGCAATATCCTTCCCCCAGGAGTGGGGAGGGAATGGGGATTTTGCAGTATCCTTCCCCTATGACGCCCACCAAGCCACACCATGACCACCAAGCCATGCCCACAGAACTGATTTCACCACTGCCTAATTGATACAGATTTGAACACTAGCATTAAAAAGAAAATAAATTTTAAAAAATAAATGAAACATCACTATAAGGAAGGGATAACTATTGGTTGGTTGCCAATATATGCTAAATGGTTAATTTCCACAAGTATAAAAAGTTCCTTGCTAGGTCAGATTAAATAGTCCTCCTAGAAATCTCTAGGCAGCCTAGAACAGGGGTCGCCAACCCCGTCCTTGGACTGGCCACTGGGCCATGTCATGCCAGAAACCGAGCTGCACGAACAAGGGAAGTCCCATCTGTGGGATGCAGACAGCATGCAAAACCACAGCCCCTCTGGTCTGCAGAAAAACCTCTCTCCACAGAACTGGCCCCTGGTGCGCAAAAGGTTGGGGACCGCTGGCCTAGAAGGAGGCCATGGGCAATGGACTTCGTTCACCAATGGCTTTCCAATATTTTCTGCTTTTGAACATGGAAGTTGAGGTGCTCTCTGTCTGTCTTAGAATCCAATGAAATATGAATTTCTTCAGAAATTTGCACTCTGAAGGATGTCAAGTTGGAAACGTTTGTTCTGTATAAATAAAAGACTGAAAGAAACAGTCAGAACTGGTTTTGTATTGCACCCTTCCACCCCCCCCAACAAACTGCATTGAGGTAACCACTCAAACATATTAACTACAAATTGTGTTTTACAAAGAATACTGGCTTGGTTTACAGAATACACAAAGCAGCAAGCCATGTGTTGGTTTGGCATTTTATGCAAATTGAGTCAATATAGTTACTTTATGGCTCAGTGCATGTCATGCAAAGCATGAAAACTGGATTGATTAAGCCAACCTGGTTATGTGAATCATGGAAAGGAGAAAATCTTACCAAGAAAATCTTCTTGAAGATCTCCAAGTATGCCATCAACTTGTGGGAAAGTTTTTTTTTTAAAAGTTTTTATTTTATAAACAAACAAGCAAACAATACATAATCAATCATTCAATGTATCATCTAAGTACATCTTTTGTGTCTTCTTCTTACTCCTCCAATATTTATCATATCTTAATATTATCATTTCATTTATTATAACATTTCCCCCACATTTCTTACTTCTCTATTAATACACTTATCTATCTTTTTATTTTATTAAAAATTTTACAACAATTTCAACCCCACACAACCTTCAACCCCCACTCCCCACACACACCCGACTTCCCAGAGCAAAAACAGGGTATAACATTTAACAAACCTAAGCTAAAATATGCTAATTTACTAAAAGATTCAAAACTCTCTCACGTTCTTTTAACTCCCCCTTTAAAAGTTATTCATCAACCTTCCTTTTATAAATTCTCTTATCACATTTCACATTTATTACTAAAATCCTTTCCATACCTTCTTTTTCAGCATTACTCCCTAGTAAAATTCTAAATTAAACATTTATCCTCTTTGGTCATTCATAAACCACTTGCCAATTTCTGATTGTAATAAAACATTCTTCAGAATACAACCTTAAAGATACTGTTAATCCATTGGGTTAAGTTATTTCTAAATCTTAAATTCATTCTTCAATATATAAGTTTCAAAACTTTCAGGAAGCTATCCATTAAATTTTAAATTAATACCTCAATACCTCAATAACTTTTAAAAGCTATCCATTTTTAGTTAAACATTTTTACTTCAGTAAGACATTCTTCAAAATATAACCCTCAAAAGGCTATCCCTTAAATTATATCCAGAGATAAATATAATAAAACGCTTCCTTTATATCATTGTCTTAAAAAATACTAATTTCAATAAACTTTCCAGATTTATTACTAAGATCCTCCCCAAAAGAAATTAATCTTCCATTCTTCCTTTCTTTCTATATTTTTTCCAGTCCTTCTTCTTCAATAATATTCTTCAGCATTGCTCCTCCTCAATTCTTCAACATTGCTCCTCCCCCTGCTTTTATTTTCGAGAATTTTTCTCTTCTCCATTTTTTATTTGGTTTTTTTACAAAAGCCAAATAATTTATTTTCTTCTTTCTTTCTTTCTTCTCCAGTCTCACTCCTCGGCCATAATCCTGTTCTTTTCCTCTTGGTAAGAACACCTCTTTAACTGCGATTGAGAATCCATCCCTGCAACAAAGTTGTAAACTTCCACTTTGAATCTTCCTTTTTGTATAAAAAATCCCAACACCTCCTAACAATTCTCCATTTGCCTGTATCAAAACCTCTGGAGGAATATCTCTCAATATTTCCTGATTACACTCCTTCAAGTCTCTCTGCTCCTTTGTTTCAATTTGAAAAGCCTCTATTTCATTTTCCAAAGGCACAATAAATTGGGTTTTTTCTTCCGCCTCCTCTTCACTTATATCCTTGTTTGGGATTTGAGTAAAATCCTTCTTAAGAAACCCTTCAATTCTTTCCACGAACACAGAGGCAAATGATTCCAAAACTTCTTCCAAAAGATCCACAATCAGCATTTGTGAGCCTACGTCATTTTCAAAAAAGCCAGCCATTTTTTTTCCTTAGATATAATTTTTAAATCCTTCTCCTTTTAAAATAAAATCCTCTTCTTTTAAACAGGGGCTTTCAACACCACATAATACTTTGTATCTAAGTTTCACTTTTCCACGCCCCGTTAGAGTCATACGCCATCTTACTTTCCCTTTCTACCACAGGGATTCAGAGGGAAGTAATAGATTTTGGAGTTAAAGTTTAGTACTTGCAATTTTTGTTTCTCCTGTATTTGCTCTGCCAGCTTTCGAGTCCAAAATTTTTTCCCTTAAAATTGAGTTGCTAATGCTGGTGTGGTCGGGATGCCTCATTCTGCATAAAGCAGACTCATCCCGGATCCGGAGCACTGAAGAGCTTTCAGGGAGCTATCACCCTGCAAACCCCAGGCTTAAAAAGAAAAACCTGGGGGTCTAGGGGAGCTCTACCCAAACCCCTCTGCTCTTCTCTCCCCCTTTTCCCCAGGGGGAGAGTTTTGAGCCGCTAGACAGCTGATTTTCGCTGTTCTAGCGGCAAACGGAATCGCAGGGCTGGAGCTCCTAAAGGAGCGTCCATCGGCGATCGCAGAGCCACCGGAAGTCCCAACTTGTGGGAAAGTTGATGGCATACTTGAGATCTTCAAGAAGATTTTTGGGGATCTTTTAAAATCATGCTTCTTGTCAAAGTACACTTACAGCTGATTTGAAATATATGTGCGATGCTAATAGTTGTCCAAATTGTAAAAATTCAAGTTCTTTTTTTCTTGTCTATTTTCATCTATGTTTGTTTATGTTTATGTTTTATTAAATTTGTATACCACCCTACTCCCAAAGGACTCAGGACGGTGAACAGGCACAGAATAAAATACAGAAATACAAAAGTTAGAAACAATTTAAAACCAAATTAAATAATTTAGCCCAGACAATTAAAAATCTATGGATGAAGAATAACAAGAAAACTTCCATGCAAGGAAATCATACAGAAAAAATATTAATTCTATTTCCTTTGCATCTGTGCTGTTTTTACTTTCAAATAAAAGTGATTCAGGGAATTCAAATAGTTTCTGACAATAGCACATTTTTCTCATTTCCCCCAACAACTTCTGTTATTTATTCCTTCAAACCAGCACTCACTTGGAGGAGGGTTTGAGAAATTTGAATGCTTGCTTGGTAATTTTTATTTATTGGAAAGAACTTGAAGGTCTTCTAATACAACCCCTGCTCAAGCAGGAGACCCTATACCATTTCAGACAAGTGGCTGTCCAGTCTCTTCTTAAAAATGCCCAGTAACTACTTCTGAAGGCAAGCCATTCCACTGGTTAATTGTCCTCACTATTAGGAAATTTCTCCTTAGTTCTAGGTTGCTTCTGTCCTTGATTAGTTTCTATCCACTTTTCTTGTCTTGCCTTCTGGTGCTTTGGAAAATAGCTTTACCCCCTCTTCTTTGTAGCATAATGTGGCATATGATCTGGACCCCTCAAATATTGGAACATGGCTACCATGTCACTGCTACCTAATCCTTTTAACCAGACTAGCCATACCCAATTCCTGCAACCATTCTTTGTATGTTTTAACGTCCAAGCCCTTAATCATCTTTATTGCCTTCTCTGCACTGTTTCCAAACTCTCAGCATCTTTTTTTTAATAATGGGTGACCAAAACTGGATGCAATATTCCAGGTGTGGTCTTATTTTATTTTATTTTTTTTAGCTTGACTGTTCTACTAGAGATAATTTGTCGATGGATTCCCTCCTCACAGCCACCTTCAATTTCCAACTCTGCTCTTTAAGACTGCCAATTTTGTAGAAAAGAAAATCTTACTGTGGGAGGGAAAACCCACAGGTAAGATGCAATATTTTGTACAGATTCATATATCCTTTCTCATATACTAAGAGGCTTTTGATTGCTCACTGACTCAGAAAGAAACAAGTTGTTTGCTAGACCTTTTAGGATGATTTCAACCTCATTCTGAATTCAAGGCCTGATCCTATGACTTCCTTCAGCCCTATTAATTGTGGGCCAATTCATACAATTACCAGGATTGTTTTGATTAAGTCAACATATTGCTGTTCAAGCAGTTGTATTGTATTGAGGTTTTTGTGTGTGTGTATAGATTTGTTTG